GCCATAGGATCTGGTTGTACCTAGAATACACATCCATGAACGAAATCAATTTGAAACCTGCATAATTGTTAACCAATTTATCTATACTGGGGAGGGGGTAAGCGTCTTTAGGGAAAGCCCTATTGAGATTGGTATAGTCAATGCACATGTGCTATTTTCCATTAATTTTTTTTACAAGAACTACATTAGAGAGTCAGGTTGTGTACTGGGCTTCAAAAAGAAATTTTGCCTCTAGGAGGTCTTTGACTGCCTGCTCGGCAGCCTTGGTTTTCTCTGGGGAATGCCTACGCCTACGCTGAGCAACTGCCTTAATGGAAAGATCTATCTTCAGATGATGGCAAGCTATCTCTGGATCTAGGTCAGGAATCTCTACTGCGCCCCAGGAAAATAAGTTTGAATTCTTCTTCAAGCACGCCTCCAGTTGTCTCTTCGCCAAGTCGGGGAGGCTAGCGTTGATCTTGACTCCTTTGGAGGGGTCTCTACCCAAGGGAACAATTTCAAATTCTCTATTTGGAATTGGCCGCAAAGGATCCGCGGGTTCGGAGATGCCCGTTGATGAGGATGAGCCTTCTGCGTCGAGCATGGGCTCTTTCCCCTTCTTTTTCTGCTCTCTGAGGTCCTCCTTTGTAAATCGGTCGCCTAGGTCGATTGTGTCGATGTGGGGCAGCGGTTTTGGTTCTTCAGAATTGTCGGAGAGTGGGTTTTTTAGCCCACTTGGGTTGAGTGTTGATGGAGCTAAAGCCTTTTGCAGCTGCTTTGAAACATCTCCTGGCGGTCTGAATGTCCCTGTGCAGGGTGGCGACGAGGCTATTGACGATGTAGTACTTCATTTTGAGGTGCATCATGGAGGGAAATGCTATTATTTTGGCCAAGGTTGGTTTCCCTAAGATGCATTGATATAATGACAGGCAGTCTATTACAAAGAACTGGGTTTTAATGAACCTGACTGTCTCTCCTGCCCCGAAAGTAACGATCAGTTCGACATATCCTCAAGATTTGGTGACAGAACCATTAAATCCCAGGAGGTTAGATCCTACATACTGGGTCAAGTGTGTCACATTCATCTGCAAGGTGGTGAAAAACTAAGAATACATTATATCAAACGAGTTTCCTTGGTCGACTAGGATACGCCTGACGTCGAAATTTGTCATGCGAGCTCGTACGAGTAGCGGAATGTTGGAGTTGTGTGACCCTCCAGGAAGATCCTCCCGATAAAATATGATGGGTGGGATCCTCTTTTGAACTTGTCGAGGTTCGCTTCCATGTCACATTTTGCCTCCATTAATTGCTTGAATTTTCTCTTCACTGAGCTTATGATACATTTGTTAAAGCCACCTCCCAAAATGACCATTGTTGCTGGGAATGACTCTAAGGGATTGTGCGATGAGAGGTACATGGGGACCTCCTCCATGTTGGGGAAATAAAAATCTTTCAGCCTCGTGATGCTCATAGAGACACACATGAGGGATTTTTATGGGGAGTCCCATATTTCTCCTACTTGTTTGTATTCAGTAGCATCTTCCCGAGGAGATTACTTCTTTTTGTATTGTTTGAGATGCACATCCCAGATGAGGATCTCAATGGCATCCTTGAGGTGGATGCAGTATTTCGTCGTATGCCCGTGACTTTTATGAAACCGACAATACTTGCTTTTGTCTCTCCATGGCTTGGACGATGTCTGTCGAGGGAAGCGAACCCTAGCTTGCTTGAATTCTACATTCCCGCAGTCAGTCAAAATATTCTCGTGTGAGACGTTGAGAGGAGTATAGTCGTTGAAGCGACTGGGGGGGGCCTTGTAATCTCGAGACTCCAGAGACTTATCCTCCCTTTTCATTTCTCCTCCCCTACGAGATGTCAATGGATCTTCATTCTTTGAGACCTCCGCGTTTTCTCTATGTTGCAGAGTCACGCAAGTTGTTGGTTTCCTTTTTCTCCTCATACTGGATGTACGCATGTGCTTTGAGCAGGAGAGCTTCCAGAGTGTCCGGTGATTCAATGACAACTACCTTGACAAATTTACTGCGGGGACGAAGCCCGCGTTTCAAGAGATACTTCTTCACACTGTCAGTCGTTCATACTTGTACAGCTTCCTGGTTAAAATGTTCAATATATGCTCGGAGGGACTCATCCCTCCCTTGTATGATCGCCTCCAGGGATTCTTATGACTTTGGATATCGGCGAGACGTTGTAAAGTTCCTTGAAAATTGTCTTCCCAGGTTTTTCCATGATGTGATGGACTCATCGGGAAGGCTCTTGTATCATTCCATGGCCCCTTTCCTGAGAGTTGTAAGAAAAATTCAGCATTTGATTGCTCCACATACTCCTTTGTAATCGAGTAACACGTCGATGTTTTCGATGTGCTTGTATGAGTCGGTGGTTCCATCGTAGGTCCCGAAGTGAGGAGGTTTCTCCAGACTGATAGGGAGTGCGGTCTCCATGATTTCTCTTGAAATGGGTCGCAGGGCTCGTCATTGTCGCTTTTATCAGGAGATGATGATGGGGAATGGTGATCCATTCTTCGTCAGGGGTTATAATCCCGGTAGGGAGGGGTGCTCCTTCTCGGCTTGTGTGACAGTGTGTGGTCGCGATCAAGCTGGTTGTTATTTGTCTTCTTGGAGATCGAGGAGCGCTGATCTTTATGAGGAGGTGCGCGACCTTGTTTCTTAATGAAAGAAACCCATTATTCCTCCCGTGCAGGGGGACGACCACACCTTGGTGGAGATGGACTGCGGGAGTCTAAACATCGGTGTCTCCTAGGAGGAGACTTTGACTGCTTCTTCTCCCAGGCCACAATCGTCTTCCTCTGCTATAGGATTAGGGCGTTGGTTTGATTGAGGGAAGCGTTGCCATGGTCGGGTTGGCGTTTGGGGAATAGGAACTGGCTGGAGGACTTCAGGAAGCTCCTCGTTGGGGTTCTTGGACCTTTGATCATCCAAGAACTGGAGGTGTCGCGTCCAACATCGACTGAATCTGGGGACGTTGTTCGACCATCCTTGGTGTGATACAGTGGGAGAACTGACTTGGTATTTTATGTTTTATCGCAATTGTTACAGATAGCAAGAGTCGCCACCGACTTTTCTTTTATCCAATAAAGGAAAGGTTGAAAAGAATAGGAAAGTTCTTTTGAGAATTTATCTTGAGTTCGGCGGGTAGGTTATGAAAAGGTAATGTGTTAGCACCCTTTTCATCCTTAGTTATCTACGGGCTCTTAATTGTTAGCTCACTTTTGAAATACTTTGTGTTTTGTGTTTGTTTGAAAATATTTTGAAAACTTCCCTCGTTTGGGCAAACTTTGTAATGATTCTCGTCTCTATAAGAATGTATACAAAGTGTTGACTTTGAAAATGTTTCATGAAAGTGTTTGTGTGTTGAAAGTTGCTTTGTTTTGAAATCTTTGTGAGCAAGCAACTACAAACGTCCTCCTTTAGATAGTGATATTTTACCATTGGTTGGTAAGGAGCCATATCATTGGATGTGAGGGACAGACGTGGGTCAACATACAATTGTAGAAGGAAACTTGTAGGGACGCTTTAGCAATTTTTTGTAAGGGACTCAGATCATTTTATCGAAGGCAACATCGAAGGGTCATCAAGGGACTACGATCTTTAATAATCTAGGGTATTTTCTAAAGCGTCCCATATTCGAGGAACATGACTGTTTTTTCCGAGGCAACAACCGAGGTTACCCTAGAGGCGCACATGTGAAAAGTGATTGATTCAAGTTTAATTTTTCGTGATTAGGGTTATCTAGCGATTGATTTTAAATCTTGCCATACACGCCTAATTACTATATAGTGATAAGGAAAGCAGTAAATTGCTGAAATTAAAGGTGCGGAACGCAAATCTAAACTATTACAAGACTTCGGGAATAGGGGTACAAATTTATGAATGGGATGAAAGAAAAGCCTGATTAAGCTATTACAAACTATAAGTAGTTACAATAATCGGAAAAATGCGAAGATAGTAAACTATACGAAATTAGAAAGAAAAGGGAAATTGTTTTTTATGATTTTATCAAGCAAGGGAATTAAACCAAATAAAAAAAATATGAACACAAATTCAAGAATTAAGATTCTAAATAATATTTTTGGAATTTTGTTTGTGAAAAAATTCGAAAATAAAATAAAGACCTATTCTACTATTTTTTGGAATTTTTGTTTATCATGAAGAAAATAAAACAATTAGAAGAAATCAACTAAACACTATTAAAAATAAAATAAAATGAATAACTAACAAAATTTATTATTCACAAAATTCTTAAATAAATTTTTAAAACTAAGAAAAATAAGAAATTATTTAGTTAAGAAAAATTTGAATTTAAAATATAAACTAAGCTATGAAAATCATGAAAAATTATAATAATGAGAAAAAAGGTGCAAAAAGAAAATATTGGAGGTGAATGGTGAATTTCCCTCATGGGCTTGAAGTTGGAGAAAGGACCAAAATAATTTATGTTTACTAATTTAAGATAAAAGAGACGGGAGTGTGAGACAGGAAATTAGGGGGGGTGACAAGCATTGGGACACATTAGCCGATGCAAAAAAAATGCTAATGATCAAGAAAGAAAAAAGTAAAATAATAATGAAACCAAAAAATAGACAAATCAGATCTGTAACTCTCTTTCCCACATCTCACGGTTTCCTATTTCTCTCTACATATTGGTACTGTAATAAAAATCATAACAACATTTTCTCCTTCTCTAAAAAAAAACCTCCAGGATTTCTCTTTTCAAAATCAGTGGCTGGCATAGGTGAGTAAAGGGGCATCGTGTCCGGTACTTGGCCTGACGGTCGTGAACGGTGTGGCCTGGTGCAGTTGCGGTTTGGAATCCGTCGGAGTGGTTTCGGGGCGACGATTGTTCGGCACCAGAAATTATGGGGATTTCTACTTTTTTTTATAATTTTTTTAGTCTCTTGTTTTCTGTGAAATTTTCCTCTATTCTATATTTTTACGCTAATCTTATTCTAAATTTCACTTCATCTTTTTCCATCACCTAAGAAAATGAAAACAAACGAAAAAGATAACAACCAAAAGCGACAACAATACAATGTCTCAACAGGCAAGCAGAATTGCGATGCAAAGGTGAATAAAAGGGAAAAAAGAATGCACTGAGTCTGAATCTCTTCGACGGAGCTTCAAAACAAAGTAAGTCTTTAAGAAATCCCTTCCTCTGAAGTTTAATTGAACTATTGTGTGGAGGAATGTTACCTGAAATTTTTATTAGTGCTCCCAACTTTTGCAGGTCTCTCGAATGTTAGAGGAAGCTTTGAAAAATTTTCAGTAGAGATTCTTTAGCTTTTTCTTCTAATTTATGCTTCCATTTCGATGTTGTCTGTATTGAATCAGATTCTGCAGGTACTTTTTAGTTGTAGGGGTGAGTTTATGGGGGTTTGGATCGAATAGAGGGAGTACGATGAGGTTATGTTAAAAATGAAGGTTGAGGTTTGTGTTTCTGTGTATTGATATTTCTGTGTGTTTTTTCGGTTTTGTTTTGTGAATGAAGATGGAGTTGAAGATGAGCAGAGATTAAAAAAAATCTATTAGGTTTCCAAGGTCATTTCTCTATGTTCAGGGTTGTCTCTTTATAGTGAATGAGAATGGATTTTGGGGGGGAATTTTCGTGGAGTTTGAACAATTCTGGCATACAGTTTTAAGCTTTGTTGATGCAGATTATGTTTGATATATTTTTGTCTAATGGTTGGAAAGGTTTTTGATGCAGATTATGGACAAAATTGCAAGTTTTGAAAGACTGTTTGGACTGGTTATGCAGGGGCAGCAAGGCTGGTTTTGCAGTGGGTGGACAACAGGTTATGAAGCAACACTAGCAGAGTTTGGGACTCATTGTGCAAGGGCAGCAGGGCTGGTTTTGCAGGGTAGCGGCATGGTTGTTTTGATTTGTAGCTTGAGGTTTTAGGAACTTAAAATTTTCTTGTAACTCTTGAAACTTGAATCTTTAAACATGATGAAATCGCTTGAAGCTTTTTTTTGAATTCGTGTATGAATGTACCTTGAAACCTTAGGCCAAAAGAAGCTTGAATTGTCTTGTATGGCATTGAATTTATTTGATCATGAAGCCAACTTTGAAAATCAAGAAAGTTCTCCTTGGAATAATGAACTTGAAATGAACTTTGCAAAATTAAACATTGAGCATTGTCTTGAAAGATGCTTGAAATTTTCGATGAATTCTTTTTGATGAACTCGTGCCATTAGGAACTTGAATTCATGAATAAATTTTTTATATTGAATCCTTGAAAAGGCTTGAAATAATTGATGGATGCTTTGAAATTTTGAATTTGGAATAGGACTTGAAATAAAATATTGACTTGTAATTTCCAAACTCATGACAACAAAGAAATTTCCTCCATCTGTTGAATTTGAAAGCCTTGAATAAAACTTGTATAATTCATGATACCACAAGAAAATGAAACCAAATCAAATGAAAGATCATGATTATATCCTGAAGAAATTATTATTTAAAGCTCGAATTCCATATCCTAACTTGCATTTGAAACAACCATTGGTTGAACCAACCCTTATGATTGATGAAAAATAACTCCTCAAACGAGATCTCAATGCACACTCTATCTTAACCAATTCTTGACCAATTGGAAGGCCCAACATAGGAACAACAAGCTTGAACCATAAACCATAAAGCAACCCCTAATTCATTAATTCTCAATTGAAGCACAATAGATAAAGACCTAATTCTTAATCCTTGAAGAAGAAAACATTGCAACTTGATATAGAGGAAGTTCTTGATAGCCATTCCTCAAGACCTTAATGGTATATTTCAATGCTCAAAGAAGAACCAGATGAATCATGCTCTATTGATGTAGAAACCTCAAATCCCAAATGAAACCCTGATTGGCACGATTGAGCAACCTAGGAGATGGTAACTGAGAAGCAAACCCTAATTTTTAGTCACACATAGGGAAATAAACCCTAATCCAAGATCTTGATGAATTTGAATGAGAAACGAACTTGTACATGGATGAATAAGAAACTCATGATAACCATACTTCAAAACCTGATTCCACTGTCCACTGCCCAAGGAGGAGCCAAGGAAATCAATTATAGAATGTAGAAGCCTCAAACCAAAATTTAACCCTAGTTAGCTCAACCACTGATGCTTCAAACCACTGCCTTATTGAAATGTAGGAATGATGTGTGAATGATATAATAAGAATGATGCAAATGAAATGCAAAGCCTAAGCCATATAAAAGTGAAAAGGTAGGGAAAATTTTGGGGTACAACAGCTGCCCCTGTTCAATCTTCTCAAACCTGAAGAGTTAGATTGGCATGTCAGCCACTCGTGACTTGAAGGTAGAAGATGATTGAATACCTAAGTGCCCAAAAATTTACACTCGCCTGCGCGTGAGGTAACACTATTGGTTATGGGAATAGGCTTAAAGAGGCCATTTGGAGAGATGACAGAGAATCTTAGGAGATGGGCTTATAGATGCCATCCAGGATAGTGACAGAATATTGTCGGAGATGGGCTTATAGATTCCATCCAGAGGTGATGAAGAGTCGTCAGAATGAGTCTACGCTCGACTGTATCTGAAGAGGTATCATAATAAATCTATGTTTGATTTAAACTGAGCTCGGAAAAACCTATTGGGAGAAGTATCAGAAAATATTTATGGTCGATTTAATCTGAGCCAGTCGAAGTATCTAGTGTAAGAAGCATCAGGATAAATCTTTGGTCGATTTAAACTGAGCCAGAAAATGTTTTTGTCTGTCTTTAACTGGGAGAAGTATCAGAATAAATCTTTGGTCGGTTTAGTCTGAGCCAGGAAAATTATCTATTGGAAGAAGTATCAAGAATAAATCTTTGGTCGATTTAAACTGAGCCAGAAGATGTTTTTGTCTGTCTTTAACTGGGAGAAGTATCAGAATAAATCTTTGGTCGATTTAATCTGAGCCAAAAAAAGTATCTACTGGAAGAAGTATCAGAATAAATATTTGGTCGAATTAATCTGAGTCGGAAGATGTTTTTATCTGTCTTTAACTAGTAGAAATATCAGAATAAGTCTTCGATCGATTTAATCTGAGCCAGAAGATATCTATCTATGTCTTTAACTGGGGGAAGTATCAGAATAAATCTTTGGTCGATTTAATCTGAGCCAAAAAAAGTATCAACTGGAAGAAGTATCAGAATAAATCCTTGGTCGATTTAAACTGAGCCAGAAGATGTTTTTGTCTGTCTTTAACTGGGAGAAGTATCAAAATAAATATTTGGTCGATTTAATCAGAGCTAGAAAAATTATCTACTGGAACAAGTATCAGAATAAATATTTGGTCGACTTAATCTGAGCCAGAAGATGCTTTTGTCTGTCTTTAACTGGGAGAAGTATCAGAATAAATCTTTGGTCGATTTAATATGAGCTAGAAAAGTATCTACTGGAAGAAGTATTAGAATAAATCTTTGTTCGATTTAATCTGAGCTAGAAGATGTTTTTGTCTGTCTTTAATTGGTAGAAGTATCAGAATAAATCTCAGTCAATTTAATATGAGCCAGAAGATGTTTGTGTCTGTCCTTAACTGGGGGAAGTATCAGAATAAATCTTTGGTCGATTTAATTTGAGCCAGAAAAAGTATCAACTGGAAGAAGTATCAGAATAAATCCTTGGTCGATTTAAACTAAGCCAGAAGATGTTTTTGTCTATCTTTAACTGGGAGAAGTATCAGAATAAATCTTTGGTCGATTTAATCTAAGCCAAAAAAAGTATCTACTGGAAGAAGTATCAGAATAAATTTTTGGTCAATTTAATCTGAACCAGAAGATGTTTTTGTTTGTCTTTAACTGGTAGAAGTATTAGAATAAATCTTCGATCGATTTAATCTGATCTAGAAGATGTTTGTGTTTGTCTTTAACTGGAGGAAGTATCATAATAAATCTTTGGTTGATTTAATCTGAGCCAGAAAAAGTATCAATTGGAAGAAGTATTAGAATAAATTCTTGGTCGATTTAATTTGAGCCAGAAAAAGTATATACTGGAAGAATTATCAGAATAAATCTTTGGTCGATTTAGTCTGATCCAGAAGATGTTTTTGTCTGTCTTGAACTGGGAGAAGTATCAGAATAAATCTTTGGTCGATTTAATCTCAGCCAGAAAATGTATCTACTTGAAGAATTATTAGAATAAATCTTTGGCTGATTTAATCTGAGACAGAAGATGGTTTTGTCTTTCTTTAACTGATAGAAGTATCAGAATAAATCTCGGTCGATTTAATCTGAGCCAGAAAATGTTTGTGTCTATCTTTAACTGGGGGAAGTATCAGAATAAATATTTGGTTGATTTAATCTGAGCCAGAAAAAATATCAACTGGAACAAGTATCAGAATAAATCCTTGGTTGATTTAAACTCAGCCAGGAGATGTTTTTGTCAGTCTTTAATATGGAGAAGTATCATAATAAATCTTTGGTCGATTTTATCTGAGCCAGAAAAAGTATCTACTGGAAGAAGTATCAGAATAAATCTTTGTTCGATTTAAACTGAGCCAAAAGATGTTTTTTCCTGCCTTTAACTGGGAGAACTATCAGAATAAATCATTAGTAGATTTAATCTGAGCCAGAAAAAGTATCTATCAGAAGAAGTTTCAGAATAAATATTTGGTCGATTTATTCTGGGCCAGAAGATGTTTTGAAACAAATGTTCATCAAGTAGATAGTCGCCCCGTCCTGTTTCTTGAATTGATCTACAATCGGTTTGTGGATAAACACGTCCTATTTCGGGAATTCATACCATTGTGATAAAGATAGTCGCCCCGTCCTATTTCGGGAAATTATCTACAGTCAGTTTGTTCTTCACAGATAGTTGCTTTGTCTTCTTTTTGGAATTAATTTGTGGCTGGTCATCCAAATAGTTGCTTCTTCTTGTTTCGGCAGTTAATCTTGAACCTGCCTTTTGTTAGCCATTGAGATAGTTGCCCTGCCTTGTTTCAAGAATTAATCTCTGATCTGGTCACATAGATTGATGCCCCGTCTTGTTTCGGGAATTAACCATGGACCTGTTTGAGAATTGTTGATGACATTTGTTTGTTGATTGATCGTTCCTAAAAAGGTAAAGAGTTAGTTGTATGTAATGTCATGATGTATGAAATGCATTGCGTAATAATGCTCTCAAAATAAATGAGATTGTGCTATATGTGTTTCGTATGCATATGCTATGATGTATGACTGTGAAATGTTGTTGAAGTGTATTTGTAAACCTGTGCAGTATCTTTTTCTGGGAAAACAAGTCCCTGACTATTGCTGGGAATGAAGAGTATGTGTATCTTCAATCTTGTCTAGAACACTTCCGTTGGGGATTCCTGCTTACTTGCTTGAGGAAACTCTGCAGGGGATGTATTAATTTCTGTTTGGGGAGTAGAGTTTGGGAACCTTGATCGTCCGTTGCTCTACTGGGGAATTTATTTCTTATATACCTTGACTGGGGATAAAAGAGATGGATAATCTTCCGACTTGTCTGGGGAGGATAAAGTTAACTGGTATCTGGTCGGATTCCAGGTTTTGTAGTAACTTTCTGGGGATGATGGCAACTTTATTGGGGAGAAGAATTTTGTCAATGATTTGTAGTAGTCTGAGGAATAGACTCGATCTGGGGAATTGGTAGACTGTTGGGGAAATAAACCCTGTTAGGGAAATAAACCCTTGTTGATGGAGAAATATTTTGTTGAGGAAACCAACTCTTTTGGGGAAATTGATTTTGCTAAAGAGAAAAACTCTGTAGGTTTTCTTTTCAGCTTTGGAGGACCAAACTCAGTTGGGGAAGAGAATTTCCATGAAGTGTACTGATTGGAAACTCTGTAGGGAAATTATGGGGAAGATATTATACTTCTTTATTTGCTGGAGCAATCTTCCAGGGGGATTACGGGGAATGCACCCTTATTTGTGAAGATTACTCAGT